AATTACGTGTGTGCATGGGGCGGCGGGTGTTTGAGGTTCGTTTGGGATCTCTCATGATTTTTTTCTGGCGCATGTCGTTGTTGTTGTTGTTGTTGTTGTTTCTCACATTAGCTCTGTATGGGGCTCAGGGCCCATAGGTAGGGCTAGGCGGGGACGTATTAGTCTATATAAATTTTCGCGCGAAGCGCGAAAAAAATTGAAGAGGCGGTTTCCCGGTCGGGCTGTTTTTTGGCTGTTTTTTTCCACTCCCCCCGATCCACTGTTTTGGGCATATCATATGTCCTTGAAATGTGAGCCGATTTCGAAACGGTTTCTTGCACTGCATTCCCAGGCACGTCTAGCATACCGTCCAACTTAACATTATTGTTGGAAGACGGCAGATGGCGACGGAAAACACACACACACACACACACTGCTGGCACTGACGTCTTTTCATTGGTCAGCCGGTTAGCGCGGTCGATGCTAATAATAAAAACACACACACAGAAGTGTTTTGTGTTTTCAACCGCACTAAAACTGACGTCTTATTATTGGTCAGCCGGTTAGCGCGGTCGATGCTAATAATAAAAAAACACACACACACAATCCTGGCTTCGGCTGGGCTTGAAATAACCCTTTTGCTGTCCTCCGCTCTTTGCATCAGTGGCTTCCTAGGTTCGAGCGAATGCATTTGTGTAGCTGAGATGTGTGTCTACGTGAAAGAACATGTGGAGAGAGTCGTATTGGCATTCGCATCAAGCGCATTGCGCATTTTTCGAATTTTGGCCCCCTTCCAGGGACCTTGATTTTTACCCGCTGGCACTGACGTCTTTTAATTGGTCAGCCGGTTAGCGCGGTTGATGCTAATAAAAAAAAACACACACACACACACACGTCTTTTAATCGGTCAGCCGGTTAGCGCGGTCGATGCTAATAATAAAAAAACACACACACACGCCATATGGTAGTAACATCTGCTGGGCTTGCGGGTGCCGGGAAAGTATCCTTGCGAACGCGGCCGCCTGGTTCTTCTGCTGCGCAGCTATCCTCTCCTCTCCGCATTTGTTTTCCGACCCTCGTTTTGTGCGCCATCCTTGGGTTTTGACCCTGGATTTCGCCCATGGGGAGCGCTGGCTCCACGGTTGCTGTGGGAGGGCTGTTGTGCTTTCCGTTGTGGTCTGTGTTGGGTGTTGTCATCATGTGTTGTCATGTGTCTCGGCGGCAGCGGCCCAATTCGGGTGCTTTGGCCCAATCACAGGTCGTCGTTTTTCATGGTCTCGGGGTCGTTTTTCATCTCNTCGTTTTGTGCGCCATCCTTGGGTTTTGACCCTGGATTTCGCCCATGGGGAGCGCTGGCTCCACGGTTGCTGTGGGAGGGCTGTTGTGCTTTCCGTTGTGGTCTGTGTTGGGTGTTGTCATCATGTGTTGTCATGTGTCTCGGCGGCAGCGGCCCAATTCGGGTGCTTTGGCCCAATCACAGGTCGTCGTTTTTCATGGTCTCGGGGTCGTTTTTCATCTCGGGATGTGCTGTTGACCAATAAAATTGCGTCGTTTTTCACTTTTGTT